GTCCTCAGCCGCTCCTCAGAGGACATGCCTTCCAGACCCTTCACCAGCTTTGTTGCCCTTCTCAGGACGCGTTCAAGTACCTTCACATCCTTTTTAAATGGTGGGACCCAGAATCGCACACAATACTCAAGGTGAAGGCTGCACCAGCGCTGAATACAGCAGGATGATCACCTCTTGTGACCGGCTGATTATGCTGTGTTTGATGCACCCCAGGATGCGGTTTGCCCTCTTGGCTGCCAGGCCACCCTGCTGCCTCCTGTTGAGCCTCCTGTCAACCAGCACCCCCAGACCCCTTTCTGTGTCTGCTGTTACTCCGTCCTAGGTGCGGAATCCGGCATTTGTTCTTGTTCAATTTCATGTCATTGGTGAAACTTAGATTCATGTGACTGACACTCAGTATAAATATTCTCTTTTTTTTGTTTACACAGATGGAAACCTTCACCATACTGACGTTTCCCTCTTTGGGGAGCCTACTGAGTTTGAATACTTGAGGAAGGTGCTCTTTGAATATATGATGGGTCGTGAGACAAAGGTATGGAAAGTTGTACGTGGTGACATGTGATTCAGGTTAGAATACAGTTTAACATCCTTGCTCTATAGATTTGAAGTACCATGTGTTTGTACCATGTTCGTTACATGCTGTTTATTACTGACACAGGATTCAACAGGCTTTCACATTTTTTTTCCAATGAGGCATGATCCATACCTTAAAAACTTTGTCAGCATGCCAAGATGACTGGTGGGGGAAGGGGGGTTGTCACATCTCTCACCCATGTACCTATGAAGACAAAAACCTTTATAGGTACGTATGGTTTTACTAGCAAAAGCCCTGTTGTCAATCAAGCTTAATGTACTGTGAAAGCTGGTATGCACAATATTAGCAAAAGTGCTCTTTTGATGTCATCTTGACACAAACATGATAAGTAACAGATGGATTAAATAATAGATTGTTAGTACCTCTGAAGATGGTGAAATATCTCTTTAATTGTTGCTTAAAGATGTTTTATAGGGCTCCCAAATCTGTATACCTTCTCTAGACAGTATTAATTTACTCTTAAAAGTAGTGAAAAAATGCACAGTAAGCTGCTTGTTGTATGCTGCAAGCTTGTGAAATCATTCCTAAATTGGAATTTTACTAGCTTGTAGCAATACGGATGCTTAGAGATTGACCAGGTTCAAAAGAGGTATGTCATAACACAAACATTTTTCTTGGATGATAAATGCTATGTGGATGAATTTTTTTCTATTTGTTTTTTTCTCCTCCCTGGAGTTCTTCCATTCTTTGTTGCCCTGCTTTCAACTTGGACTACTATTAAGGAAAGAGGTTTTATGTAGGTTTTAATGTTAATTAGCTTTGTTCTCATTGTGCTCTGTACAAAATAAAACTTGGTCTGTGCAGGACATCTCGTCCTTATGGGATTCCTCTTTCTCTCTCTTTTTATCCCATTTTTCACTTTGATATTAATTCCTTTTTTATTAAAAATACAAATCCCTGATCCAAAAAACCCAGAATCACTAGTTACCTTCTGTTCACAAGCCTGTGGCTCATTGGACGGCTCTCCTACTTTAATAACAAACAACTGAAATCATTAAAGAAAAATACATACATTACTGGATTTTATGCTTTTGAATTGTGAGGGACTTAGACAAGCGAAAACGCTAAAAAACACGTCAGCATGTTTCAGCTTCAAACAAGTCTTGGGACAGTTGCATATGACTATTGCAGATAACTGATGCACGTAGCAAATTTGCGTTCAAGAAAACCTAATTCGAAACCTCTTTTTCGCTCATTAAGGCTATTTCTTACTCATCTTCAAAACATTACTATATATGCCTCAAAACTTTGGATTTTGAAGTTGTGAGGGTTTTTTTCCTTTTTAACAGTTATGTACTAAAATTTGCAGTTGATTTCTTCAATAACAGCAACAAACAACAATCAGTGCTAAAGTAAATTGACTTTAGGTCTCTCTTCTGTCTGTCAATTGCTTTGATTAAAAGCTATATGAATAAATATATATATCATAAACTTATGTATGTATGCATTTATATGTATGTATGCATTTGTAGACATACACCTGTATTTATTTGCCCTGGACATTACATTGTATTTAACCAGAAGATGCCATTACAACATTGCCTACACACTGCCTCCTAAAGAAAAGATGAATACTGGGAGGAGAAAAAAAAAATCAGAAAAGATAGACATCTGGTTCCTACAATAACTTGAGAAGGCATTGTTTGAAAGTTGATATGGTTGAAAGGGGGAGTGTATTTAAACAACCAACCAGCAGAAATAACTTTCAAAGCACTACAATTTTTAGCTTTGGGAAGTTTAATGTAGATAGGTATGGGAGAATCATAGAGTTCTTAAAATTGAATGTGATTGTGTTCCTCTATTGTGTGTCCATGCTAATTTGATTACCTCTTAGCAATTTTTAATTGAGGGTAAATGTTCTGATGTATTGCAAGAAGGGAAGAATTTCTGGTATTGTCTAGTCCTCTATTAGCTGATCAAGACAGTAGCTGTACTGGCATTTACTAATGGAAAATTAAAATGGAATGAAGGCTAGCATTTTTACTAATTTAAATATGAAGATACTTTGGTGTCTTCTCTTTTGCTTCAAAAAGTACTTTCAAGCTGATTTCATCTGCTGATTTTCTTTCAACCATTAGGTGCGTTGCTGGAAGACACTGAGCTTAGTGTCTGCTGGTCACAGGGATTGTATCGTGTAATCTTAAATTTACTGAACTGTGTCTTGAAAACTGTTTTCATCCTGCTACACTGACTGGAAAACCATAAGCAATGACAATGTGATTGATAAAATCTTTTAATATGCAGTCTAAGTGTGTTAGTAAAGTATTAACATGCCTTTTTTCCCCAACACAGTCCTTGAGTTAAAAGATCTGTATTGAGATTTACCTCCTCGGTACAGACGTACCTTTCTCTCAGCTTTTGTTTTCCTGGACCAGATGAGGCAATTTTTTCTGATTTTCTCTTGTAAGATCATTCTGGTGGCCTTTCTCTGTGCAGGGTCTCCTTTTATAGTGCAAATATGTATGCCATGTCCCAAAGGTCGTTCAGCAGTGGAATTGGTGATTTCTGTAGACATTATTTCCTCTTTATTGAAAGGAGTTCAAGAGAATCTGTGCAAACCATCTAGGATGGATTGCCATTTATGCAGCCTTGGTAAATGATCCTGGAATCATATTAAGTAGAGACATTAATGAATGTATCAGTTGTGTTACAGTGCTGGAGACATAAGAGACGTGTTGAGGGTTGATAGTGGCTCAGTTTCTAAGAGTCAGGAATTATGGTCATAACGTGTAACCTGTCACATTCGTTGTAAACTGCACGTGTCTTCGCTGAGGGATTTTACTGTCTTGCCCTCCAGTCCAATTTTATTTTTTGCTTCGTCCTCGGCAGGGTGTATGAAATGAGATTGCCAGCTTTTTCTAAGCATGCACCTTGTTCAGAATATCTGAACCTGGAAATACATGGCATAAACCACTAGGTCAAATAAAATAATATTTTCTACAGACACGTGAACAGTTGCACTGTCTGGCTGTACTGCACACTAAATCTTAAGTCTCGTAGAAATCCTAGATGCTCTACTTGTAACTTTATTATGCTGCTTGGAGTCTGTTCTGAGATCAGAAAATCAGTACAAGGGTTGTATGTCTGTAATAAATGCTTGTTTTGATATTGACTAGGTACATGGAAGAATGTAATGGAATACGTATGTGCTGGAGATAGTAAATTTATGCAGCTATTTTTCTAGCACCTCAACATGCTCTTGTGCATTGCAGAAAAACAAGGGGTATTTCTGTAAAACTTCGATTTTGAAGGTTCTGCCTTTGACCAGCAGCTCTTGAATTACAGAGGGCACTGATCGGTATAACTGTAAAAGTATTCTTTTCAGAGATGACATATCTGAATATGTCAGCCTCATAGAAAGAAATGGGAATGCAAACTATCATCGCTTAAACGGGAGTGCAAACTGTCCTTGCTTATAGCAGAACTAGCTATTATGTTTGGGAAAGCTCAGGGCCTTTCTATAGGTAGATATAGAGATGCACACACAGGAACATATGTGTGTGTACTCACACACTTGAAGAGTTACTAGGGTTTTTTTATAGTAGAATAGACTGTTAGAGGAATAAGGTAAGCCTATATTAAAAATACTATCCTAAGTTCTGCAATCCTTGTAACTTTCTTTCATAACTATGCAACTGTGAATAGCGTTGAATAATTCTGCTTCAAAATCTCCCTAGTGGCCTCAAAAACTTGGAGATGATTTCAAGTCATTACTAGTGATAAATTATAAAATGGATGTTTTCAGGAAAGCAGGTTTTAGATAGATCCTATTTAAGTTGGCACTTAAGTATCTATGCTTTCATGGAGTATTTGCAGTGTTTGTAGATTTTTCTTTAATATTTACATGCCATTGGGTCCTGTAGAAAATTGTTAGGAGAGGGCTTTCTTGATAGCTCTGTTACAAAGAGTTTGAATAGATTGTAAGCTCAATGCTTTCTAATCTTTTAGTCCTAAACAATTGTGATGAGGATTTTGGCAAAAGAAATTAGAAAACTGTTATGTTAGTTTGTGGCACTTAGTACATTCCTTTGTGTATCTGGGACCTGCAGTAGAGGCACTTACTTCTTAATTATGGGAACTATTAATATGACAAAATTAAACTTTTTGAGCTGAAAGGATTCAACAGGGCTTGGTTTGTTTTGCTTTCTTTTCATTTTTATCCCCAGTTAAGTTACATACCAAAACAATTGTTGCAAATTAGGGCTTTACCTCTCGCTTTTAGCCACAGTGATTTTTGTCCTGCAACTGCTTTGTTGCTACAGCCTCCCTCTTCATTGCACACGTGAGACTGGTAATAAACAGTAGACATTCAGAGCAGCAATCTTATCTCATCCACATTCTTCAAGAGCAGTAGTTACTGCTTTTGTAGCAATCACCTTCTGTTTGAGCTGCACTGCAGCTCTTACTTTGACCTTTCTTGTAAAAGTCACCTGAACCTTGTTTTGTGCCTTTTGGAGTTTTTTTTCTTCCCACTCATCTGTTTATAAAATGGAAACAGTCATTGCCTATTTTGCACAAAGCTTTGATATTCTTACATCTTCTGTCTGAGGATGTCTAAATGATTTGCTATTTAAATATGGGGTTACTGTACACCCACTAAAAATATTTACACAACTGGAGTTCCACATCTGACATTTGGATCTGCTTTCTCAATGTTTCATTTCTTTACAAAATATTTGGGTGATGTGAATACAGTTGAATCCATAAGGACTCTTTCAGGTGCCATGTGCCTGAAATGTGCTTTTCAGAAGGGCCGCGTTAAGATCAAATGTGGTAGGAGCAGTATTTGTAACAGTATGCTGTCTTAGTAATGGACTTCAAGTATGTGAGCATAGATACCATAGAGCTTACATTGTATTACAGTAGCTGCAGTTTGTGACAATGTGAAATTAAGATTATTCATGATTTTCGTGTAATTCACATAACATGCATGTATGATGTGAAACAGGTAGTTATATCTTACTCATCTCACTATGTTTTCCATTGATAGTACTAAAAATAGCATCCAGTATTCTTAAATGAGATGCATTTTAATATATTCCAAAGCATTTTAGTTCATATGAAATTACTTATAGCTGACCTACTTCTTTTTAGACAATGGCCAAGGTTATAACAACAGTGCTGAAGTTCCCAGCAGATCAGACTCAGAAGATACTAGAACGAGAAGATGCTCGACCATTGGTAAGTTATATAAGTAAACCAAGTTTATGCAGGAGATTAGGTTGAGAGAATAAGGAATTAGAAACTTTCTTTTAAGTCTCCTTTTTCCATGTGTCCGCATTCAAGAAAACTCCTTTTCTCCCTCTTCTTCAGTGGAATGTCAAATTCCAGCTGTAGGTTTGAGTTTATAGCAAAAGTGAGGGGGGAAAAAAGCAAGCATATTTTCTTAACTAGTATTTCTCATCATCAGTTAAGCCATATTTCTGATAGGTATGGGTACAACAGAACAAGAGAAGTTCAATCATCACTGCTGTTCTGCAGATGAATTTTCTAATCAAAAAAGTAATCTGACAGAAAACTCATGTTTCTTAAATTCAGAAGTTTCTGTGGAGTCATACCAGTTTTCATGAAAAATATGTCAAGAGTTTTTTCAGCCCTGGGATAAATTTTCTGGCAAAACTACAAGCAAAATGGCTTTTGTAATAGAAAACCGATGAACTCAATCATCTGGGATATGTGTGTTTGAAGTGGGATATGTACATTTTTATCTTAAGTGAATATCCTAATAAGATTGGGTTTTTGTTTGTTTTGGTGGTTTGTTTTTTGTTTTGTTTTGTTTTTTTTGAGTCTGCTTTATTTTTGTACTGAAAACTCATCGAAATACGTCAGGTTCGCTCTGGATCAGGACAGGTCAAAAATAAGAGTCTTAAACACTTCTGGTTCTGTTTGCTTGTTTTTTTCCCAGTTTCAATACACTTCTTATTATGTGACAGTTGCTTGGTATTTACCAGCTAATCTGTTTACCAGAAAGGTGAATTTGCGTTTGAGAAGCAGACCCAAAAAAGAAGAAGAATATATAAGCATAAACGTTTATTTGGTATTACTGTTACTATTTTATGTATTGGAGCTATTTTTTATTAAGATAAAAACTGCAGTAATAGTCTTCTCTACATTGTATCTGGAGTCAACACTGTGATCCCTCTCTTTGTGGGCCAGCTTAGTAAAATATTTAGGAACTAAAGTGAGAGGAAGACTTGCATTCTGTTTCTCTCACTGGCCTTACATATGTATTTATTTAGCACTTGCAGAAACAGAATAACATAAAAATTTGAACATTTTTACATTTCAGTTGAAGTAGTTACATTAAAGTCCTGTTTTAAAACAAACAAATTTTAAAAAATATTCTACCATCTCATCTGCTTGAAGTATCAAATCTGAGGAAAGTGTTAAATACTTTAACGTTTTCCTGTGCACTTAGTAGGTTTGAGAGCGTCTTGCAATCTTAAGTATTTAAAATACTTTTAGAATGATATAAATGTTGATAATACTGCAGCTCCAATAAGTATCGTGCATCCCAAACATAATTTTCTCTTAATGCTCTCTTTCTCTGACCTTCACATAGAAAGCTGGCGCTTTGTTTTTTGTTTTGGCAAAGCTAGAGTAATATTAGGAAACATTTTGAGTTTTCTGTTGGCCAAAAGAGAGCTTAGAGAGATGGGCCTTATTTTGCAGTCCCTTCAGCTTTTTGATACTTGAAACCTGGTCTTCCTAAAACAGATATTCACAACTTCTGATACTAAATAAAACTTTAACTTGAATTCATCCAACAAGTTTCGGTCCTTGGTATTAAAGGTCCTTGGTATTAAATTTTGGCTAGAACATACAGTGAATTTTTTTGCAGGCTGCAAGTGCTTTGATTGTTAAGGATACTGTCGTTCAAAGAGCTTCATGTCCTGATAAAGAAATTCTTGGGTTTCACGTAGCAGTCCTTTCTTGGCTCAGACCTAGCCTATGAATTTTATCCTTTCCAAATCCACAGAGATTAAATTAGACATCTAATGGAAACTCAAATATTAGGGCATATTATGGAGGATGTAGTAATTTTTTTCTTCACTTTCAAAGTTACTAAGTTTGTTTACTGAAGCACAAATGATTTTTTGGAGCAAGTCTTTTGTAATTCTGTTCAGGACTAAAGCATTGGAGGGGTCTTCGTAGATTATTCTGTCAAGAAATATGCTTGGTTTTTTGTATTTTATTTATTGACATTTACTAACATGGCAGTAGTGTTTCTCCACACTTGATGTTGGAGTGATGCTGGTATTTGAAAATGTCCAGTATTTAGATTTCATGAGCAATAAAGTTCTGAACTACAACATAAACGTGCATTTTTGACATAAAGCTTGGTTGTTTCTGTATGTTAGTTTATGGCCAAAACATCTATAACTAATTTTAATGTGCAAGTTGTTAATTAACTGTGCTACTGGAAAAGAATAAGTGTGAGTAGTACTACGTATCTGTGAGTAATTATTTACCCTCTTAGTGGGCAAATATTTAACACATTTCTGAAGACTTTTAACAAATTCCTAGGTCAATAAACATATGCTAGATTAATGTATCTCCTTCACTAATCTAGTTTTTACTACATAGTTATTGTGATCTAACTGCAGCAATCTGATCCGTAAGCAGCAGATGTCCACAAAGTTCTTACCTACACTGTTAACAAAGTAGTCCAATAAGCTGTTTTCTTCCTGGCTTTGTAGTTTGCCTCACCTCGCAGTGGTATCTTCTGAATATCGCATCAGTCTGTGCTTAGTTAGCATGTGGGTGAGTGAAGCCTAATACATACTTGTTTTATTTAAAGATGAAACCTGTAGTATGAGATTAATCACTCTTCTGCTTTTGTTTCCTGCCTGCTTTTGTTTGTTAGAAAAAAAAAATGAAAATTTTTGTTCTATATATGTATGATAAACTTTGTTCTACTCTTAATCATGTTTTGCTTTACAAATCCGAGTTTGAAAACGGTAAATATTGATTCAAAGCCAATCGTTTTGAGTTATAAGCATAACTTGAAATGTTGGTTGAGCTACAGAAATCTGAGTTGCACAAAAAAACCAAATCAGATTTTAAATCAATTAATAAGTAATATTAAATTTTATTGCACTTGGCTTTGTTTTGTCTTTATGCACTTTCTGAACTTTTTCTGAACAGGCAAGTCAGATTTGTGGGAGACATATACTGTACTGCTTGAAATGAATTATTACATCTTATAAATATGAGAATGGATTATTTTAAAGATTGATGAAATATTCTCTGTAGAGGCATTAGGATATGATTGCATTTAAACGTGAGTACCTTTCTGAATCAGAGCTTTGGCTTGGTATCAAGAGAAGCTAGAGCAGAGGGAGTAGGGAGAACAATTTGGGGAGCTTTATGCTCTCAGTTTATTGTGCCTTTTTTCAGGTTTTATTCAGCTACTTTTGTTATGAGTCTGCAACACTAATTGCAGTGTTACAGAACAGCAACAGCTGATTTGGGCCTAAAGATGCAGGTTGCATCGGACTAGCCAAGCTAAACAAGCAACACACAAGCAATAGCAGTTGAGAGAGGAGTAGGATATGGAAGTACACGGGTAAAACTTCCTGCACTGCTGATAAGATTAGTTCGAGTCATTAGCGGTGTATGATATTTAATAAACTCTTCAGATGAATTCTATAGGATGCGGTCAGCCCAACTTTCCTTTTCCTCCTTTGCAACCGAAAACCTTTGCACAGTTGCCAGGAATTGATTCAGTGCATGTGAAGCAATCGCTATCAGTGGGCTGAAATGCAGTGGTTGGCCTGCACCGCCGCCGTAGCAAAATGGATTAACTTAGGCTGTTTCCATTGCCAGTTATCACAATGCAGTTGGCAGGCTATCTTCCTCTCTTGCAGTCATGCAAATATAGCCTTCAGTACAAAATAATATCTGTTTCAAAGGAAAAAAATCTGTTCACCTTAGCAAACAGTCATGGTTTCTACTTTCTTTTGTGTTCTTTTAAACCTCTGAATACAATAGTGGATGCACTTTATTGTACTTAAAACGCAATAGAGTTTGGACTGTTTGCCTCCTAGCCTTGATCACTTCTTGACAAAATCAGCAACTGTTTTTTCTAGCCCTCTGAAAATAATTGAATTGTTGGTAACGATAGGACAAAGCTATTTACAACACTCTTGCAGAAAGCATGTTTGAAACTTAAGTTCTCGTCATGCTGTCTGTAATGCTGGTGGTAAAAAGTTCAGGTGTTCTCAGCCGCATTTGAAGCGTACCACAGAAGGGCTTGATTTTGACCTTAATGTCAGCAATTACCTGTTACGCTTTCATAACTTAGGCTAATAAGTATGGAAACCGTTCAGACCTCGTTACTGGATTGTAGTTCCTTACTTCATCTCAAGTATTTTTGTGACTTATGTCAGTAGATAGCCGGCAAACGGGGTAATATTCTTGCATGTATAAAACTTGGAAATTAAGATGATGCTGACTTCATTGTGAAAGCAATAAATGTTTTCCTGGTAGAGGAGGCTTTTTGCTAGCCCCAAAATTTTACTTCATCATTTCAGTTTTGATGATAGGCCTTATGCAGAGAGGACAACTTTGTTTTTCATTGGATTAAGATGCAGCGATGTGGTAGACTATCTATTTCCAGTGAGACTCCTGACTGTTTTGCTACAGGTTATTTTGTTTTCATCACAGTTCCTCAACTGTTTTGCAGATACTGGAATGGAATTACTTGCTCAAAATCAGTTAATAATTTGACTTATCTGAAATTCTTCCATCTCCTATTCCTATCAATAAACGACGTCATTATTATTTTAATATTAAGTGCTTCTAAGTTGCTCTCAATAATGTAACATTTGTTCTAACTTTTCATTCTTCTAGTCATGGCTACGACCATCTTGAAGAAATTGCGATCGGAATGTCTCATGACACTGCTGCTTAGAAATATGTTCATATCTCTGTTGTTGTCCCTTGAGAAGGGACACGAAGAAAAGCTGTTATTCAAGGTCACAAATGGAACCGCGAGAACCAACACTCAGCACCACCTTTGGACCATGAATATAGTTAGAACTGCCTTGACAAGAAATGCTAATCAGGGGTTATCTGGTGATGAGTCTCTTTTCTCTTCTATTGAACACTGTCTTCTATTTTGTGTTAAAGGTTATTTTTTTAAAGGAGAGAAAAGACTTTATCCTAGGAAGGAATTGCCCACTACTGTATCTCTATACAGGCTTTACTGGGTGTTTTTTAAGAGTTGAAATAAATGGTTTGTTTCTTCTATTTATTTTTTTATTTTTGAATGAATTGTGCAATACATTTTTGGATGGGTAGCGGTTGAGGTGATTTTCCTGATGAACTAGGCACTCTTGGTGACTACTCTCTCCCGATTTGATCTTATGATTGTTTGCTAAAGGTCACTTCTATATGCTTTTGCCTACAATAAATCCAAATTGCAGTACCTCATTTGTTTAATCCTAGCTTTTGTACTTATATTTTCTGGAGAAAAAGTACGTTACTGTAAATTGTAAATAGTTAATACATAACTGTATCATATGCTGATCTGTGACTGTTGACAGCACTAATCTGACAAGAGCTGAGATGAAATAAAGTTTATTTACTGTATAATTTTGGAATTTCTTTGGTATGATTTCCCTTTTGAAAGGATCCACCAGTTTTGTTCTTATTCCTGTTCGAGACGTCCTTAGCCGAGACATTTCCAGGCTGAAATCCCTCTCATAAGAAGAGCTATTCAAGTATATTGAACTGTAAGAAGTCAGTGGAGACCTTCAGATTTTCAAGGGATCACAACCTGTGGAACAGACAGATGGTGAGCTGAAAAGCTGGCGTGAGAATATAGCAAGTTGGGAAGTTTGCTTTGTAGAAGTTTTAAAATATGTATTTTTGTTCTTTTAAATAATGCCTGTCTGGTTATTTTGGCATGTAGGTTATGATCCTCTGAAGCGATACGCAAGTATGGCTAAATTTAATGTGCTCTCCAGCTACTTTGATACTTACCATATCAATAACCATCATCTGTACGGTGTATGTTAGTTTGCCAAGATGGTTAAGGTGATTAGTTCTCCATTAATATAATTTTTAACAAGCGTTTATAGGAGCGGCAGTCCTCTAAATAGCTCATCTCTGCACATAAGCAGGCCTTCTAAGTATACTGCCTGCCTGAAAGATACTTCGGAATACTGTTAGGAAGCGATGGTTAGTTGCTGATGCTGTCAGGCCTGGAACATGCATCCTGCGACGGGGACGCTCAGTCTGTTCCTCTGGGCGCTCTCCCGTTAGCCAAGGAAAACGGCGGGTCCTCCTGACCGCAGAAACAGGTTTGGCTAGTGTGGTGTGGTCCAAACTGATAGATTTGATTTGTTGTCCTGCCCCAGCTGTCGTGCCCAAGGGTACTACCCAAAATCTTGTATTTCTGTGTACCCAAATTTTGTATTTCTCATACTGTTAGCTAGGTAATCTCAGCTTCGTATGGTATTAGAGTTGCAATTACCTCGGCATTGTTGGCATTTCAAGACTGCATCCGCAGTGTTTGCCTCTGATTATCTACGAAGTTCAGCCTCTTCTCGCCCAACTCCGCCATAACCACCTGTGAGATCCAGCCATTCCTCGCAACACTGTCCCTTTCGTCAGCTTCTCGTACTGTTACCTGTCAAGTTCAGCCATTTCTCTTGTCACGCCCAGTGGTTTTCCATGTCTTGTTCAGTTAGCTTACCCTCAGGCCAGGGCACAGGTAGCAGCCTAATATTTGTGTGTGGCTCCAAAAAATAAGTACAGGCTAACGACATGTAGGATGTTTGGTACAGTTGGGGTTTGCTTTGGTTTTGTTTGGGGTTGTTTTTGCAAATGCACTGGGATTCACCTTTTTTCTCACCTGCAGGAAAGGAAATGAAGAAGCTGAATTTATTTGCAAAGTTTTGTATCCTGACGGAACTGGGAGAGGTGCAACAATTTGAGTGCTCCAAGGCCTATTGTGGCCACCGCCTGTCCAAAGAATACATCTGGCTTTAAATTATTATTTACAGTCTAAAGGGACATGGCTTGCCTTTGATAGTTAAGGACCCGGAGTTCCATCTTTTATTTCCTATGCCTTGTCTCTGGCAAAATCTCTTCATTTTCACGCTGCTTTGTTACTTATAGCTGCTTTTTTTTTTTTTAGCTTTTTCCTTTTATCAAATGTATCAAATTTGGTTTAAAAGTTTTTTTTCTTTGTAATGGTTTCAGTTGTAAGATCTTCTCTTTGCTTCTGTTGCATCGCAGAACAGCATCCTCCAGCACGTTGCCTGCCACAGCCACAGACAGCCTGCACCAGACTTGACATGGATACGTTTGGATGTGAAAAACGCGTGTTCCTCTCGTAGCTGGCTGAGGATTTGTAGGATTTTGCTATCGCTATCATTACAGCGATCTAAACCGTAGATTTGAGTTTCAGGTTTCCATGTAAGGCATATGTTGTCTTAAGCTTTGGGAAATTAAATGCAGGGATCTGTTACTCTGACAGTGAGTGTCACTATGATCACTTACAGTTCTCTTGTCCTCACAAATAGGCTTTTCTTCACATTTTCTCTTTTTGTTCTTTTCCCTTTCCATGAAAGATACTAGTTCTAGACTGTACTTTGTCAACCATGACCTAAGTGCAATGGAGCAAACCTAAATACCCTGGATAATATTCATACAACACTAGATGGAGTAAATATTTTTTTTCCCCCCTTAAGTGACCTAGTTAAAGAACACAAAGGAGATTATACAGTTATCCTTGATTCTTTTTTTTAAACTAAAATCAGATAACCACTCCCCAAATTCACATTTTGAAAAAGTTGTTTTCCCTTCTATATATCTCATACGCAATCACATAACTATTCTGTAACATAATGAGGAAGTGTGTTAAGTACAAGAGTTTTGTCAGACTGAAGTTTTAACTGCTTCTACGTTTTTTTTTTTTAAAGAGTATATGTAAACAAAGCATTGCTTTAGAGTTCAAATAAAGGAAATGAGTTAGGGTGAAAGCATGAAAATGAGAACTTCACTATGACTAGTGGTTTTTTTGTTGTTGGAGTGTTATAAAATACTGCTAGTAGTGCCAATGTGACTATATACTAATATACTCCAGGCCGCAAATACTTCTGATTATAAAATATCCTTCTTTAGACACACGTAGCTAAAAGCCAAAGACTGTATCAAAATTTTGGCTGCCTTTTTAGCAAAGGTTAGAGGATCCCAAGCTTGTTCAGACTGGATTGTTAAAAGATGCTGCTGCAAGAGAACATATTTGGATTGTCTTACGTTGACCTTTCCCCCAGTTTTACATGTGACATGCTTCGTATTTACAATTTTATGGACCCATACACATGTGCATAGAAAAAAAAGTGTAGATCTAATTTATAAAGATAAGTATCAAGTGTCTTTGAGTGTCCTAAGGATTAACTACTGTTAATTGAGATGAAAAATACCAGGTTTTTTATTACTGTATTATTTCAGTGCCTAGGCTGATATTTATTGGCCACATACTATTTCAAACTTTTTATAAAACATTATATATAAATCCATCCAACTTCCGGTTCTGCCATTTATAGTCCCTCTTTCTGTGAGCTATACTAAAATCTATTTTCTTTCCTACATAGTACATGGTATCTGGTTCTCCCCTCTAAAATGAGGGTTTCAGACTCTCCGAAAACCAGAATGAATACCGAGAAGATTGGTTTCAGTTTGTAATTCATACTTCTTGCGTACAATCTTATTGTCTATCCGTATGCGCTACAGAAAATAGTTTTTTTCCTTCTGTGGAATTTGTTAAATTGAGAAACTTACTTTTCATTTGCTTTTTTAAGAAAAGACAGCTCTTTCACAACACCCTTACCGATGCATTATGGAAATCGAGATGAGCAGAAACTGGCAGCCTCTCCCCTACGTGTGGGTTATCCAGACCCAGCTATATATGAATCCCCATGGCTGTTCCTAAACCCTGGTCCGCAACAGCATTGCTAGCGTGGGATTTTCAAGCTCTCTTTGGTTGTGTATATTCGTAATGTTGCGAATTGGAGGTGCTAGAACAGAAATAAGCAGTAAGTTGCATGTTATTCTACACTGCGTTTATGATCTAGGAGTTGCCACCTTTAATTTTCTCTTCTCTTGCAGGCTCTCATTTACACCGATTCCAGTCTTCCCCTGTTAACATTGAGTTAGTTTCCTGTGTGTGTTAGAGTAATTTTAAAGGCACGTTGACTCAAAGCAAGCGCGTCTCTAGAGATTTCTTTCATTGTAGAACAGCGACAGCTATCATTTCCTACAGTTGCCACTTAATACCACGTGATGTTCCAGAGAAGCGGTAATTAAGCCCATGGTAATTACATGTTACCTTCCGGCTGTGCTAGCACATCGCGGTACAGCAATGGGTGATGATGGAGTTAGGTGTGGTGCAGACATCTGCTGTGACATGTGACTTGCTCCTCTTGGTTGCAGCTTCTAGAGTGGCCCAGGTCACGTCATCACCTGGTGGCCATTGGGCAAATGAACGAGGTAGTTGTTGTTTTCTAGTTAGGCGTGTTGCTGTAACCAAAGCCACTTCCGTTTGGCAGGTAGCACTTCCAAATGGAGAGCAAGGCCTGCGTGGCCCTGGGGGCTGACCGGGGTCAGGGTCTGGAGGGCGCCCTGGGGGCCGATGCCAAAGCAGGTCAGCACGCCTGCGGCAGAGACGCCTTTGCCTGCTGAGCTGTGTACCAGCCTCTCTTTGTGGCTGGATGGCTTGAATCTCCGGCATTTCTGTAAGCATTTAACTTCACTGAAAGGAAAAGGGATGAATAGCAGAGTGTATGCTGTAATCTTTGCCACTGTTTATATTTCGGAAACTTCAGTGGTCCAAGAAAGTATTTAGCCTTCTTATTTAGATCTATGATTCCTACTTGTTACAGTGCTGATGTCTGCAAGAAAAATAGTCATCGCATTCAGCGGCATTATGCATTGTCCAGTTTTACTGGAGTAAGGGAAGCACTTAAAAGTTTTTTCTAACTTGGATGAGGCAGTAGTATATCTTTTGCAAATGAATCAAAATGATCAAACAAACAGTGTGTACAAATTTAGAACAGGCATCTCTCTGCAGCCAACATGACATATGCTCTGTGGTTCCTTAACTGTAAGCTGCTGGTGCTGCTGAGTCTTGCCAGTCTTGCTCACTCAAGCCACAAGCTCTGGAGAAACAGCTGAAATGGAAAACTAAGAGAGTGAGTATCTGAATGAGGAAGAGAGAAGAGAAGTAGGTACAGAGTCAAGTTATTTGAGATGTAAGATTCACCATGGCAGATCAGATGAGAAATATTAAATATATTACTGGTTTAGTCTAGAAGTTTGGAGTTTGCCATGTCTCTGACCAACGCTCCAGCTGTTCTCGCAGCCAATCAGCCGTTGTGGAGGGGGTAGAAGTAATCGATCATGAGCAGACACGAGCTGTCTAGAAGTAGACCTCCCCACTGCCCCTGAGATTTTGTGCCCCAACACAGGAGAATTGCTGGAATGGAATATCCTGTGTTAATGGAACTGGATATTCTGGTTCAGTTACACATCTATATGTCTCTATGGATACTACCAAATTATCATCCTTGCTGATGCAACAAATTATTCTGGA